GGCTCATAGGGGCTCACAGACACTGTTTGACCTCGGCCCTCTGCATTTGTCATGGTTGTGTACCGAGTCTTCTCATGGAATTCCTAACGGTGGGAACATGAGCTATTTCTCACTCTTTTGCCTGCTTTTGGGACCCTTTCCTTGCACTGGGTGGCCTTGCCCAGCCTTAATATGAGAGGAAGTGCCTAGTCTTATTGCAACTTGACGTGTCATGCTTGGTTGCTATCCCTAGGAGGGCAGCTCGTTTCTGAGGAGAAACAGAAGAGTAGGTGGGAGGTGGGGCGAGGGAGGAGGGAAACTGTGGCTGGGATGTAATGCATGAGGGAAGAATAAATACACTTAAAAAAGAGAAAAACATGGTTTGCAGGATTCATTAGGCTTAGGAAACAGAAACTTATTTTTGTAAGGTTTGGAGACTTACCAAGGTATAACAAAGCTGGGCACAGTGGTGCAGGCCTTTAATCCCAGCACTCAGGGAGACAGAGACAGGTGGATCTTTGTGAATCCCAGGCCAGCCTAGTCTACAAATTGAGTCCAGGACAGTCAAGGTAACACAGAGAAACCCCGTCTTGAAACAAACAAACAAAATCCGCAAAAAACATTGAATAACAAAGTGATTCCTGTTTTGGTTTCACAGACCGAACCCTGGTCCTCTCAACATCAAGTACTCTTAACTGCGAAGATATCTCTCTAGCCACTTATAGCGAATATTTTGAATGTCTCCAGTTTGTAGGCATTCAGTGCAGGCTTTATTGTATTTCTCACCGTACACACAGATTTGATTTGTAATGTTTTCGTGTCTGCCCCTAACCCTCTAATTCTGAGTTAGGAAGAGGAGAACCTGGAAAGGTTACACACTGGGAGGATGGGCTGCTGTTGAACTCTAACCACGTTTTACTTAATTTTTGTTTGTTTGTGTGTGTGTGTGTGTGTGTGTGTGTGTGTGTGTGTGTGCGCAGGGGCATACACATGGCATGGGTGTGTGTGCTTAAGCCAGAGTGTGAAAGTCAAAGGACAGCAGTAAGGAACAGTTTCTTCCTTCCTACCATGAGTTCCAGAGACTAACCTCAGGTTGCCAGGCTCTTGTGGCAAGTGTTTTTACCTGCTGAGCCATCTTGCCAGCCCAAGAACACTGGATAGGAGTTGGGAAAAAAAAAACATGCAAACTTGCTACAGAACCTTTAGTGCCTTTTATCTGATTGCTGTGAAACTGGAAATGGACATACCCCATTTCAATGGAGAGCAAGAATTAAACCAGGGGCTGGAGAGATGGCTCAGAGGTTAAGCGCACTCTACTCTTCCAGAGGTCCTGAGTTCAATTCCCAGTAACCACATGAGGCTCACAACCATCTATAATGAGATCTGGCGCCCTCTTCCTGCATGCAGGCACACAAGCAGGCAAAACATTGTATAAATAATAAATGAATTTTAAAAAAAAGAATCAAACAAAAGTAGTTCTAAAATAATCAACTTAGCTTTGATGCTAACATTCTGTTCTTTTAAAAAACTTATCTTTATTTCACATGTTTGTGTGTTTTCTGTGTATGTGTCTCTGTGTCTATTTGTGTGTGTCTGAGGCATCAGATCCCTTTGGAGCTGGAATTACAGGCAGTTTGAGTCACTTGACATGGGTGCTGGGAATTGAACTCTTGTCTTCTGTAGGACCAGTACATACTCTTAACAGCTGAACTATCTCTCCAGCTCCACGTACCTTTATAACACTTAAATTGTTGGTTATCAGACAAATGTGAGCTGGCATATCTTCAATTACTATCATAAATGAGTGTCAGTAGAATCTTTCTGTACAATATATACAATTTGTGAGACAAAAATTCTTTTCTAATTTGGTGGTTATAAATAAATTAAATTATCCTCATCTATTTATTATTTGTTTGTTTGTTTGTTAGAGACAGCATTTCTCTGTGTAGTCTTGGCTGTCCTGGATGTGTTTTGTAGACCGGGCTGGCCTCGAACTCACAGAGAGCTGCCTGCCTCTGCCTCCCTGAGTGCTAGGATTACAGGCCTGTGTCATGGCACCCATCTATCCTCATTAAAATTGGAACTTTAACTTTTTGTTGTGGATAGAAATGAGGCAGAACCTCACTTTAAGAAAAAAAATATTCATAAATAAGCCAAGAAGCAAGCCTTTCCCTGGATACTATTGATGTTCCGTGCACTTTTGTTTTCACCTCTTCAGACAAAGAAGACAATGGCGGCAAAGCAATGAGAGAATGTGGAAGAAAAAGAAGAATAAAACAACGACATAAGTTTACCAAAGAGGAATTGAATATACTTGAACAATTGTTTAAACAGAGTCCTTATCTAGATTTCTCAACCAAGATGGAGATAGCAAAGTGGTTTCATTGCCCAGTATACGTGATTGACGTAAGTCAGATATCTGAAGTTTTTTGTGACGATTCTTTTTTTTTTTTTTTTTCCTAAACAAGGTTTCTTTATGTATTCCTGGCTGTCCTGGAACTTGTTCTGTAGATCAGGCTGACCTCAAAGTCTTCTTTTTTAATTTTATTTTATGTGTATTAGTGTGAAGGTGTCAGATCCCTTGGAATTGGCATTACAGACAGTTGTGAGCTGCCATGTGGGTGCTGGGAATTGAACCGGGTCCTTTGGAAGAGCAGAGAGTGCTCTTAACCACTGAGCCATCTCACCAGCCCCGACGATTCTGTTTGGGAAATGTAAAGAATCATGAGAAAACTGACTGTCATTGCAGAGTTAACCTGTCATTTTTCTTCTTTCAATGTGACTGAACATATTATACACAGCTTATATGGAAAATAACCTATTATAAGGAAAATGTGAAAGCAAGGACATATTTTAGGGGCTATTGTCATGGGACTGAAGAAATGGGTTAAGAGCACTCCTCTTCCAGAGGAGCTAGGTTTCATTCCCAGCACCCCATGGCAGTTCATGCCCCTGGAACTCCAGTTCCAGGGCATCTGACCCCCTTTTCTGGCCTTTACACACACATGGTACACAAACATTCATCCAGGCAAAACACCATACATGGGCAATAACATTAAAAAAAAAAAAAATAGGTCATGCATGGCGGTGCATGCCTTTAAGCTCCACACTGGCTTAGGTTCTCTGTGAGTCAGGAAGATCTCTGAGCTTGAGGCTAGCCTGGTCTACAGAGCAAGTGGCAAGACAGCCAGGACTACAAAGAGAAACCTTGTCTCAAAACAAAACAAAACAAAACAAAAACCTTCAAAACAAAACAACCCGGAAAACAAAAGTTAAAAGCTACTGTCATTACCCAGGGTGACAGTTGTGATGATTTAATTTTGGGTGTTTGCTGTGGGAAGAACAAAGCCAGAAGACTTACGGATATTGATTTTAATATTGAAAATGTTGACCATTTTGAAGGTGGAGCAGATGCTTTGCTGAGATGCTAGATCTATAATGAGGAAAAGGGGAGACAAAGATTGTCTGAAATGAAATGAATGGAAGACTGGAGTTGTTTTTCTCTAGAGGCCCTATGCTGGGCTGGTGGCTGGCTTGATCTTATATGGGTCTTATGTAGGTAATCACAGCGGCTGTGTGGTTATAATTGTTAATCAAATCTACTTTGCTTGAAGTCTGAGTTTACAAACGCAACAGCTATGTTGTCTGGAAGTCAGCACTTGATAGCACCCTTTTCTTGGCTTCTACATTCCTGCACCCCTTCCTCCACAACATCCCTGAGCCTTGGGGGGTTTATAGATGAAGGTATCCCTTGGAGGGCTGAACGCTCACAGGCACTTAGTGCCTTGACTAATTATAAGTCTCTGCATTAACTACTGACCACTAAAAAGTATTTTTGACCTTGAAAGCAGCACAATAAATATTTAGAAGTCAGTGTGACAATCTGACCATTTAGTAAAACGAATAGCTTCCCCACTAGTGGCCTTAGACTCTGAATTTTTCTGTCTCAGCTTTTCAAGTGCTAGCATTACAGGTGTGTAGTATCAAGCCCACTATTATCTGTCTGTCTATCTATCTATCTATCTATCTATCTATCTATCTATCTATCTATCTATCTATCGACAGGATCTCACTCTGTAGCCCAGGCCATCTGGGAACTCAATGTGCAGATATTGAACTCACAGCGAGCCTTCTGCCTCTGCCTCCAGAGTGTTGGGATTAAAAATGACCAGGTCATGCCTGTCCTCCATCTCCTTAAAACATTTTATCATATGTACACCTTACCTTTCTCCAAAAAAATTTTGGACCATAATTTTGATGTACAGCTGTTTTAAAGAGGCTAAAAGTGAAGCCCAAATGTTTTTAGGACCAAATCAAATACCTACAAGGCATGTCCAAACTCTTGCCTAGTGTCTTTAAATATAACACATAATATAATTTGTAATACATTGTATCTTGTTGGGTGGCAGCTTAAGCAGTGTTAAATTGAGGGACAGTTTTCACCTGTTCTGTCTATATGTAGAGATTGCAGTGGGGTTGATTGGAGTTGGCTTCAAGGTGTACAGTTCATAACCTCCGTCATAACGTGCACCTTGGAAAGGTGGCCTTCATTTTTTGAGGCTGAATCTAAGTTACTGAAAAACTGAGTGTATGGCTGGGCATGGTGGCAAACACCTTTCCTCATAGGACTCTGTAGGTGGATCTCTGAGTTTGAGGCCAGCCTGGTCTGCATAGTGAGTTCCAGTATAGCCGGAGCTATATAGTAGAGACCTTGTCTGAACCAAACTAAGAAAGAAAGAAAGAAAGAAAGAAAGAAAGAAAGAAAGAAAGAAAGAAAGAAAGAAAGAAAGAAAGAAAGAAAGAAAGAAAGAAAGGAAAGAAAGAAAAGAAGGAAGGAAGGAAGGAAGGAAGGAAGGAAGGAAGGAAGGAAGGAAGGAAGGAGAGAGAAAGAAAATGCACTGTAGGATACTGCTAGAAAGCAGATTTGATTAATCCTTTTCTCTTCTTTTTAGAACTGGTTTCAGAATAAAAGGGCCAGGCTACCACCAGAACTGAGATGCAAAATTTCTGCTCGCAGGAGAATGTACCAGAACCAAGACTTCATGTTTACAGGTCACCCGGGCACCCAGGTACCAGCTCCCAGTTACACCACTGGGCAAGTCTCTCATATCCCCGGGGCATCAGTGAGAGCTGCTGTCTGTGTGAAGATGCAGAACGCTTCTGGTGACGAACACAGCTTATGCAACTTGGTGGTACAGAACATCAGCATGAGATCAAATGTCGCTGTGGAGTATCAGGTTGAAAGTGGATCTCCTTTCAACTTCAGACCAATGAACTTTACTCCTCCCCTTATGTCTGAGCAGTATTATAAAGATGACTGGCCTGAGACATGGGAAAGTCAGGGTTGTTTCACGTCCTCTGTTGTTGGCTGTGTTCCTAGAGTGCAGGGGCAGATGCAGGTGGATGGTAACTATTCCTCACTGTTCCCAGGACAGCAGCAGGGTCACTGGGGAGATCAGCAACAAAGGCAGGACCCTCAGAGCTACCAAGGGAGGATGCCCTTTGCCGACTGGCTTGATGTACATCAGAGTCATGGAGACTCAGGGCAGCGGGTGCCCTCCTTTTTTCTCTCAGAGCACCAGGACCAGTTTGGTTCAAGTAATGCAGCAGCAGCCGGTTCTCAGAGGCAACCTGCACCTCTGCAAGCAGCGGTCAGCGCTCCACCAATGCCTCTTTGGCTAGATGGGCAGCAAGGGCCTTCCAACAGCTTCCAGCAGGGGTGGTGCAGGCCTGTCAACACACACCTGGGCTGGGGGCTCCCTGAGGAGCAGCATGGAGGCCAAGGTGCAATCTAGAAGGCTTAGAAGCCTCTAGAAAACCCTAGGACTCAACCAAGATCCAGAGTTCCCAAGGATGGTTTCAGAAAAGGAAAGTTTATAATCAGGATCCTCAACTTTGATCTTCTCCGCAGCTCTACATTACAGATCTAATCTAGGTCTGTCATCATGTTCCCCAGAGTGCTCAGCCAAAGGGACCCTCAAAAATACACAACTGGCTGGAATCTAGCTGGAAGTTTAGATGGCCACTTGCCCCATAATGGCCTGAGCAGATCCTTAGATTGTCACTGACCTGCAGTGACACCTGAATACCACTTGAGTGAGGGCTGGGGGGAAAGAGACAGGGAAGGATACCAAGTCTAGGTTCTGATCAAGGTGTCCTTTACTGAATGTCAAGCCAACACTTAAATAGCAGGAAAGTACAGGCAGTTTCTCACGGAGGCAACTTTACTTGGCCAAAACATATGAGGGCTCACTCAAGGTTACACAGAACCTGCTGTCTGGTTACCATGGTTGCACAGGATTTATTGTCTAGTTCTCAGGTCAGAGCCCTCTGCTGTGGAACTGCCAGGGTCAGTCTATGAGACACGGAGCTTTAGATTATAGCCAGGGTCAAGAGGCCGAATTCCACTGCTCAGATACATGCTGCAGTTTTGCCATTAACTCCAAATAGGCTGCCACATTAGATGTAGGGAGTGACGCTCGACTAGAGAGCCAGTGCCAGCCCCATTTGGCCAAACATAAGCAAATGGGAGGTTTAGATGGAGAGGTTCTTTGGCTGAGTTTAATATATATGTATATATTCATACAAATGTATAAAATGTTCTCCTTCCAGATTCTCCTGGCGGGTTTTTATCGTTATTGTTGTATTTTGTATTAGGATACTGTTTAGGTTGATGGAGGTTTTCTTTCTGTAAACTGTAAACAACAATTTTAACATTTTATAAGACATGAAAATGTTCAGAGTGTAAGGAAGCATGAAGACACATTGTATACGAATTTGTGTTAAATTGACAAAGAATAAATAAAAGATCTGTGTGTAAGATTTTTTTCTTTAGGCTAATAAAGATTAAATTTCTTGAAGAGTGAGTGCATCACCATGTGTGGTGGTGGAAGCCGAAGTAATTGATATCTCTGAATTTGAGGCCAGCTTGGTCTGTAGAATTCCAGGATAGCCAGTGTTACACAGAGAAACCTTGTCTAGAAAAAAAGAATGGGCACATCGTTGCCTAGCTTAAAGGTGTCTTCAGACAGTCTCCATTGGTGTTTCCCAAGGAGTTTTGCAAATCACAAGTCCATCTGGACTTCAGATTGTCCTTTTGTTCACTCGGATCTGCTGATTTCCCCTATGCTAGTGAAGGAGTCAAGCTAACCTTACAGATTCCAGTTTGATTTTTAGGCCTCATGTCAAATTAAGTTCTCTCAGTACTTTTCCAGAAAGCAGAAGGACATGGGCAGAGATGAGGAAGCAGGCAAGTTGAGACAGACCCCAGACCCACCCTGTTGTAAAAGCGTAAACCAGGCCTGCACTTGTGAGATACCGTTACCTGACAACCAACCCAGCTAGCCCCAATTCCCCTTCCAGATAGTCCCTAGCCTGTGACCAGAGTCACGTAGCCCCGCTTCTCTGGGGCTACCACAAGATGTGCTAATCGTCCCCTCCCCCCAGCAACAACCAGATCAGCACTTAGCAGGACATTCCAGGCGTTGCTCATGACCAGATATCCTCCAGATGGTCAGGCCAGGACAGACCGGTCTCGGCGCCTAAAATAGACCAATCATTTTAAAGGGCAACTTCCCTATAGACCCTTTACCCAATCCGGTAATGTCAAGACGTGTAATCCGTTACTTGCCCACACTTTTTCCTTTTAAAACCCAAGGCTTTTGTTCCTTGGGGCCATCTCTCACTTGGATGCAGGAGGCTCCATCGCCAGTTGGCCTGAATAAACCTCTTGCTGTTGCATCAATCTGGCCTCCAAGTCTCCTTCCTGCTTCTCCCTGGTAATTGGGTCCAACAGTAGAAGCTGACCAGTGTTTTGAAGCTCGCCCACTGCAAAGCACCTTGTATTTGCACCTCCATTATGTAAATTTCTTTAAAGGAAATAGATGAAAACTGGAGGGGGCAGGGCTGCATACTTGTACTTATGAAGGTCAAATGACAATTTGTGGGCATGTGCTCTTCCGCTGTGGGTTTGAAGATCAAACTTGGATCTTCAGGGCAAGTGGCCTTGCCAGTTGAGCCATCTTTCTAACCCAAAGTGAGGTTTTCCCTTTCCTAAATGGGATTACAATATATACCATTACGTTGGACTGCAGTGGTGCTGGAGAGAGAGCCCAGGCCCTGTGTAGACATTCAGAAATGCTTTTTTCTCACTAAATGACTTAGCAAGGGGGCTGGAGAGATGGCTCAGTGGTTAACAGCACTGTCTGTTCTTCCAAAGGACCTGGGTTCAATTCCCAGCACCCACATGGCAGCTCACAACTGTCTATACCCCAATTTAAGGGATCTGACACCTTCACACTAAGGCACATAAAATAATAAAAATTAAAAAGATGCAGTTCCAGGCAAGCGCATGGTGGCTCACAACTTTCCGTAACTCCGAAAGTGTCAGCAAGGCAGGCACCCAGGACAACACCCATATTAATGTACCTGCAAAATGACTTTTATTTTTAGAAAAATTTTATAGATCCAGCTGAGCGTGGCCAGAGGCTTTCCTGCCCCATTACTATAATCTTTGACACATGTGCTCCATGACCTGGAACTAAACATACCCAATATGTCTATTCTGGGATGTTCTTCAATTGTGCCATTCAACGGAGCATGCTCAGGAATGCACCAACCGCTGTGAGCATGAGTAGGCTCCCTGGATAAAATCTTGCAAGCTGCCTTTGTTCCAAGAGGGCATTGCTTTGAAAATAACTCCTGTCTTTGCCTGTTGCAGGTAATAGGTCTTCCCCAGCTCTTAAATCTTGGCTGTGCTTGTTTTGTGTTTGCACCCACAAAGATGCGAGCTCATTGAGTTCAGTTACAGAATTTTAAATTTAGGTTCGTATTAAGAACTCTCATCTTTATGTTGCTCCTTGGCCAGTTAGAACAATATCCAGTTAGAATAATATTCTCCAAGTTCATCCATGTTTTTAACATCAGGGTTTCTTTGTTAGAATTAGGAGTATTTGCTCTGTTGCTTAGGATGGTCTCAAACGCTTGCAGTTCTGTTGAGCTAGACCAGTCCTTACGGCCATGATGTGTGGACAAGGCATGTAGCTCCTCTGAAGACAGGAACATGCTTGGCAAGGCCAGTAATGGACTGGGGCCAGGGCTCTGGGGGAGCTTTGACTTCATCCTGAGAATTCAACTCCTTCTCCATAAAGGGCTGTGATTATCGGTTGCCAGGCTCCCTTGTCTTCTAATGGCCTGAGATGCCCTGTGCCCCTTTGTGCAAGATAGCTTGATTAGCTCCCTGCTGCCTCTGTCCCCTTGTATGACAGTTTTCACTGACTTTGCTCCATCTCCCTCCACCCCAAGCTGTCTCGAAGAAGCTGTACTTCCTAATAAGCTTTTTTGGCATAAGACAGCTCATGCAAGCCTTCCTGACCCCAGCTTTCCTCTCTTCTTTATCTTCTCATGCCTTGGTTCCCTCTCTGTCTCAGGAACCTGTCACTGAAGAATGACCTCCTGGCCCTGGTTAGACTACAGTGATTCTCTTGTGTCAACCTCAAGTACCTGGGACTACATGTGTGTGCTATGATCCCTTGCTAATTTCTTTACCTGAAAAGCTGAATAGTATTACACACTTTATCCACCCATCAGCCAAAGGCTACTTAATAGTAGGTGTTGTGTCCTCAGGAGACATATATCGAGGCAGAAGAGGAACTAGGGCTTCTGCTTTTAAGGCTCTTAAGGAAAAGAGTTATGTGGGAGACACATTGGCAGCTTTGTACAAACTACCAAGGTTGAGGAGGCTCAATGGCCTGTCACGTTACACAGAGCCCCAGACTGCAGTTGCGCAGCACGACTGTGCTGTCCCCAGCATTCCCTGAAATGGTTTGCATGGTCTTTCCTCGAAGCTTTGTCCACTGAGGATCCGGGCGATGTGCAGAGGCACCAAACCCAAGGCAACGATTTGATTTTTAAAAACTCAAAGTTGCCTCTTCTACTTCTCATCAAGAAAAACACAAAGTGATGATTTTGTATATAAAGAATAGTTCCTGGCTTCTAAAGAGATACGGAACAAGTTGGGAACCGTTTTTATTTAATATGGGCTATTATCTTTGCTGACTAGCTGAAGTTTAGGTGCTGTTGAAAGGAAAAACAAGTTTAAATTGTGTGAGTGAATTTAAAGAACAAAGCAACAACAATTATTTGCAAATTGGGTCACCCTTAGAGTCAGAACAATTTTTTCGAGACAAAAGTTTTCTCTGTGCAGCCCTGGCTATCCCGAAACTCCAGATCATACTGGCCTCGACCTCAGAGATCCGCCTGCCTCTGCCTTCTGAGTGCTGGGATTGCAGGCACCACCACACCTGGAGACAGCCAGAACAACTTCCAAGAATTGTGGCCAACAATGTAAAGAAAACAGAAGCAAAGAGAATTTTACTGGTTACAGCTTAATTAGTTTTCTTTTAAAG